AATGCACACATGCAAAAGAATACCATTCAGAAATGCAAAAGATATATCTGTACTACTACAAAAGAGGATGAATATAGTGAATAGACTAAAAGGCCTCAGTGCAAATGGAGTCTGCATTGAAATAAGGGGAAAATGTCATTTCTAAAAGAAACTGATCATGATTATGGATTTACAGAAACTGAGACCTTACCTACAGAGCTAAATTGGTTATATGTATGAGTACCCGGGACAGTTATATTTATACTGTGTACAGTAATCTCTACCAACTAAATAACTAGCCCTGTATTAACATGGTGTTATTAAAATATATGGCGGGCAAAATAAGTATTGAACACGTCATCATTTTTATCAAATATATTTCTAAAGGTGCTATTGACATGAAATTTTAACCACGTCAGTAACAACCCATGCATAAAATGAAACCAAAACAAATAAGTTCATAAATGAAGTTATGTATAATAATATACGACACAGGGAAAAAAGTATTGAACACACTAAGTGAAATTTATTTAATACTTTGTACAAAATCCTTTGTTGGTAATGACAGCTTTAAGACACCACCTGTACGGAGAAACTAGTCACATGCATTGCTCAGGTGTGATTTTGGCCCATTCTTCTTCCACATAGTCTTCAAATCTTGAAGGTTCCATGAGCCTCTTCTATGAATTCTGATCTTTAGTTCTTTCTATAGATTTTTTTTTTTTATTGGATTCAAAGTCAGGTGATTGGCTGGGCCATTCTAGCAGCTTTATTTTCTTTGAAGCCAATTGATAGTCTTCTTGGCTTTGTGTTTGGGATCATTGTCCTGCTGAAATGTCCACCCTCGTTTCATCTTCATCATTCTGGTACATGGCAGATTTTTTATCTAGAATGACTTGGTACATTTTTCCATCCATCCTTTCTTCAATTACATGAAGTTTGTCAGTATCATAAGATGAAAATCAGCCTCACACCATGATGTTCCCACCTCCAAACTTCACTGTTGGGATGGTGTTTTTGGGGTGATGTGGAGGTCAATTCGAACTGCACATCACCCCAAAAACACCATCCCAACAGTGAAGTTTGGAGGTGGGACCATCATTGTGTGAGGCTGATTTTCATCTTACGATACTGACAAACTTCATGTGATTGAAGAAAAGATGGATGGAAAAATGTACCAAGTCATTCTAGATAAAAATCTGCTGCCATGTACCAGGATGTACCATGTTGTGTATTATGGCATCCAAAGAGTTCAATTTTGGTCTCATCTGACCAGACTATATTCTCCCAGTATTTCACAGGCTTGTCCAAATGTTGAACAACAAACTTTAAACGAGTTTAAACATGCTTTTTCTTCAGCAATGGAATCTTGCGTGGTGAGTGTGCATACAGGCCATGGCGTTCGAGTGCATTACTTATTGTTTTCTTTGAAAAAATTGTACCTGCTAATTCCAGGTCTTTCTTAAGTTCTCCACAAGTAGTCCTTGGCTGTTGGACAACTCTTCTCATAATTCTTTTCACTCCTCTGTCAGAAATCTAGAGCGGAGCACCTGGTCGTGGACGGTTTATGGTGAAATTATGTTCTTTCCATTTCCAGACTATGGCCCCAACAGTGCTCATTGGAACATTCAGAAGTTTTAGAAATACTTCTATAACCAATGCCATCGGTATGTTTTGCAACAATAAGGTTGGAAAGGTCTTGAGAGCGCTTTGCTTTTACCCATCATGACAGGTTTCTTGTGTGACACCTTGGTAGTGAGACACTTTTTATAGGCCATCAGTTGAGACTGAACCAACTTATATTAATTTGCACTGAAAAAGGGCAGGATTGCTTTCTAATTACTGATAGATTTTAGCTTGTTTCTTGGCGTTCCATGCCTTTTTGCACCTCCCTTTGTTCCTGTGTTCAATACTTTTTTCCCGGTGTCATTTTATCTTATTACACAACAATTTCTGAACTTGTTTGTTTTGGTTTTTTTGTATGTATGGATTGCATGGATTGTTAACCACATGTGATGAAAACTTCATGTCAATAGTACCTTTAGAAATATGGTGACGTGTTCAAATATTATTTTACTCGCTGTATCTAAACCAAAAATGTAACAGAGTTTACTAATTTTTAGAGTAGTGGTTGCATTTGTTTACTTTTTTCCCCAAGCTTCTTTTGCTTTATTTTCACCTAGTAATCCTGCAGGCAACATACTACCTAACCCTTGGGTGGCTATGTCACTCCTCTATGAAATCTATGGTTGTCACCTTACGCTGGTATGGACCACAAGCATATCCGTATCTCTTCATCTCCATTACATGGGGACAGGGCAATTGGTAGATTACAGAAGATAGCTAAGAAGGATGAGTTTCATGCAGCTCACAGGAAGTGACAAACACTGCATTTCTGGTAGGATCAGCAGGTATTTTCTATATTTGCTGAAAATATGCTCACCTTCAAAGAAAATGAAAATAATGAAGTTATCACATCTAATGACTAACTGCAGCATATTGCAATTTTGGGGTTTAGTTATCCTTTCATTTGTAAGTCAGGCAAAATGCACTTTTTTTTCCCCCAGCATTTGAGGTGTGTGCATTGTGCAAATAGCAACTTCTGCTCCAGATCTGGAATGTCCCGCCCCCAAATTAAATTGCTATGTATACATATTGACTTGGCATCCTTAACTGTAGTCATTAAGAGGTCTACTTCACATCAATTTCAGCAATTTGAAGCTCCACTACAATGTTGCTGGTGTGACATGGCCCTTGTAAAAAGACATTTGCACTGCATTGTGCAAAGTGGGAGAGACATGACTCAAAGCCTAGGTTGCTGATGGCATACTGAGCACAACTGGATCTGGGGGCTACACAGCGCACTCAGCAGAAGTGTATCTATTTACATCCAAGCCTGTATTTGTAAAGTATTGAATCTGATATTCACCATGGGTTTATCTTCCTGGTGTTTTAAATTAAAGTGATTGACTCACCACCAGTAAATATTTGGTGAATGTCACACTGATTGTTTTATAACTTTACACCACAAGGTGTCAAGCAAAAGATCTGTTATGTAACTAAAGTGGAGAATCCCTTTAATCCTGAATTAATTCCTCTTACCTTTCACTATAACTTTTTGTCCAAGATTCCTTATACTGGTTTAGGTAAAGCAATCCATAAAAGAAGACTTCTAGTGTAAAATGTGTTTACTGCCTAGGAACAAAGTAGCTTAGACCAGTAGTTGACCAACGCTCTTCAGTTATAGTATTTGTTTCATAATTGTGCACCATTACAAACCCTAGTGTTATATCAGTCTAAACTGTATTCTTAATGTTGACAAGAGACATGGTTTACAGACCAAAAACATGCACAGCTCATGCATTAGTAGAATCAGATTTGCCACAACTTGGACTCTGTTCTTCAGTTTTCAGAGACTGCTATGAGATTCTATCAGCACAAAAAAAGCTATAAAGCACCTCTATGGTAAGAATAGGAGGCCCTGTGAGATACCCATTTATATCAAGCCACATGCAGATGGCAAGTCAATATTGGGGGTCATGGGGGACATAGAATAAAAGAAGACAGTAGGGGATTAAAAAAAAAAAAAATTACCCTGGCTTGTTACTGCCTCCCTCTCATTGCAAAGGTTAAATAGTCATTACATGTAGGATTCCTCACTCCATCTATTGGACTGGTACACAAAAGCCTTCAGCTGGGAGTTGCATGCTGACATTATCAAGTACAATGCAGAGCCAATAGTTATGCATTGTATGTGTACATGAGGATGGCAAGGCCCTACCCACATCTCAAGAGTGGTGCAGATATTTTTTTGGGGGACAGAGGAGAGAAAAATTAGAGCCTCCAATAACTTTTTTTTTTTTTTTAATTGATGTTTGTCACTTGTGGGGAGGTACACCTTTTTATGCCCTGATAACCATTGTCACCTGATCTGAAAATTAAGTAAAATCCAAAATTTTGGTTTGTCACAGAGACAAGAATAGAGGGAAAAATTTTCAGTCTGGAAATGTGTTGCAGTGGAAAAAAAAAAAAAAAAAAAAAAAAAAAAAAAAAGGGGAGTTGCCTCACTGTGGAGAGTATTCTCTGTTTCCGGGACAGGAAATCAAAGGAAATCTCTCCAATGCGACACAAACGGCAAAAACAAAACAATAAAAAAAGCCCAACAGATATTTTAACTTTTCTCTACACTAAATAAAACTGAAAAAGAAAGTTGTGGCTTTAGAAACACTTAAAACTAAAATACCTTCAGTATAAAACAGAAAAAACTTTTTTTAACACCTGTCCTGTCTAGTTCTCTAAGGCCTCAATCACATGGGCATACTTAAGCACACGCCCATGTGAGAACTGTTCTGTGCATCCTCCTTCAGGCACTCCCATTCTTGTCAATTAGGACACAGCCACTGCCCCCAATTTGCCATCTGTGTGGGTCTCCAAATGCACACTGTTCATGTTCAGGGACCAACACCCACATGGAAGTCAGATTGGGAGCAGCAGCAATTGACATGAGTGAGAATGCCTGCTCGAGGGTGCACTGAACACCTGTGTGTGCCCGTGTGAGCAAACACGGCCCTTGCACGGGCATTTGCTTAAGTGTGTCCATGTAAATGAGGCCTAAATATAACAATATTAGTTCTTAGTTTCTCTGAAATCAGAAGAGCAGCTGAAATTGCAATCAGCCTCTTTCCCAAACCAGACACACTAAATTGTCTGCAACCTCCCTGCTCCAAGACAACTGGGAGTTGGTGGCATCAATGTCATGTGTGTTCTGACCCACAATGAAGCAATCATAGCTCTCGATCTTAAAAAAAAAAAAAAAAAAAAAAAAAAACGAAGGGGTCTTTCACAAGTGTATGGCTATTAGTGGCATACAACCCTACACCAATTATTAAAAGAGCTTTCAGTTTGTTGGCAAATCTGGCAATAAAATGCAGATGACATGCGATATGGGGTTAGTGCAGACATCACAGCCAGGCAATGTGGTGTTAGTGCAGACATCACAGCCAGGCAAGAGTTGTGCTCACTTTCAAAGTCAAGGAAAAAGTTTGGTCCCTGATCAAGCTCTGTGCATGTAAGAACTTTTAAAAGGTTTCCCATTTGGCTCCTGAAAAACAGAAACAAGAAGGAGAGAAAGGAAAAGAGGTGCTAAGTGGGTGAGATATAAAGCAACATGCAAACAGAAGGCTCTCTCTGTGCAAAGATGTCAAGTCCCAGCATTCCTCCAACTCATCGAAGATCAGGATTAAAAAAAGGAAAGGTTTTAGCCATTGACCTGTGATTCCATCATAGAACTTACTTTCAAAATCCAGGAAAAAATGGGGATAATTTTCAATTTCCCTGGTAAGAACCTTAAGAAGATTACCCATCCCAGCAAACCTGGTGGATGCAATACAAAACAGTTATATTATCAATGCATCAAAGAGTATCAACACTGGATGTTAAACCTTTGTTAAAAAGCATGCACACCATTATGCTTATATACAGTACATTTCAAGTCAATGTTCAAACACTTTGCTCATATTACATAAAGAATATTTAAGATTTAGCATTGCGGCAAGCAGTTGTGTCCCAGGCAACAGTGACAGCTGTGTGGAGGCTCAAATAGCTCTCCTGTTGTGAAAAAGACCTGAATAGCAGGGAGATCAGACTACAAACACACAAAGGGACATGTTGCTCCTCCTTCCAGCGTTCTAAGTAGACCTGTCACAAATCTGGGATATTAATGATAAACACATGAGGGAAAAACAAAGAAGGTCTTTTGTAGGAATACAAGATGTAGACAGTTGACATGGTATGTAAGACTCAGCCTTTCCTGGGGGCCCTTCTGCTTTTCTTCCACATCAGAGAAGAGATCAGTGGACCGCTGTTTGGTCGAGGTGCCAGAAAGAAGCTTTTACTGCACCAATGCCACAAAAAAGCCCAGTTACAATATGCCTGACAACACCTTGACATGCCTAACCAGGCCTTTTTGTGTCACTGATGCAGTAATGGCTTCTTTCTGCACCTCAACCATTTTTGTTGAAGTGTCATCATATTGTGCTCCTTCAAAACAACCATACTGTCTTTTTCCAGAGCAGCTTGTATTTTTCTTGTGGTTACCTATGGGTTTCCCTTTGTATCCCGAAAAATTCTTCTGGCAGTTGTGGCTGCAATCTTTCTTGGTCTACCTGACCTTGGCTTGGTATCAAGAGGTCCCTGAATTTTCCACTTCTTAATAGGTGATTTAACAGTACTGTTGGCATATTCAAGGCTTTGGACATGTTTTCATGTCCTTTTCCATCTTTATAAAGTTCCATTACCTTGTTACACAGGACTTTTGACAGTTCTTTTCTGATGCCGATGTCTCAGTATCTAGCCTAGTCAGTGCTTCCACGTAAGAGCTAACAAACTCATTGACTATTTATACACTGACACTAATTGCAATTTAAAAAGCCACAGATGTGGGACATTAACCTCTAATTGTCATTTTAACCTGTGTGTGTCACCTTGTGTGTCTGTACCAAGGCCAAACATTCCAGGGTATGTAAACTTTTGATCATGGCCATTTGGGTGATTTCTGTTATGATTTAAAAAGGAGTCAAACAACTATTTGATAATAAATGGCTTCATATGATCATCATCCTTCAATAAAAGAGTATTTTTTGGCATGATCAGTCATATTTTCAATATCAATGCCAAAATTTCACAATTTTTCAGCACTGGGATGTGACTACTTTGAGCAACTGGAATTGCTCTTGTCTACCCCAACCATCCAACAGATAGAAGGGGAGGAATTTCACATTTCCAGACTGCTGCACTGGCTGAACGGGCAACGGCAGTTAATAAGAGGTAGGTGGAACAGGGACTGGGTGTAGCTTATATTTTGGCTTCCTTTGTTCCCCCTCTCATTAACATGCTAATGTAATTTGTGCATAAAACATGCTTTTATTACATTTATTTTAGATCCAATAAGGTCATTGCTAGGTCTCTTCTTTTCAATGCAATGCAGGCAGATCATGGCTAGAGAAAGGGAAGGGCAGAGTGTTGTTCATAGCTTCCTCAAAACATCACAACACACGCTCTCAGTATTAGTTTAACTTATACCAGTGACTTTTGAGAATAAATTGCTTACATTATTGGTATATAGCAGTGATTAACTGCTACTACACAATTGTCCATCTGACATGACCCCAATTAACCACAAAGGACCAAAAATTGGACTTGCGTTCTTGTTAGCTCGTTGCATGGAAGTAGGTTACCATGCATTGTGGTGCCGTGTGATGTGAAGCGGCAAACCACGAAAACAAAATCATTTGACTGCAGTCTTGGGGTCCCTTCATACCGTGGCGTAGTTTAAGCCCCTATGACCCACAGACCACCACTCAGTTATGTAGTGTACATTATGGAGACAACATTTCAAGACATTTTCAAATATCTTGGATTTTAGGGACCAAATGTTTGTGAACACCTGACCATCACATTTATAAGAGCTTGCTGAAAACCTTACTTCAAAATTGTGGGATTTTTGGCCATCTAAAGCACCTGCCGTTACTGACAGGATCTTCAGGTAAGAATTTCTGCAACAAATTCAGAAAGAAATATTTCCTTAACCTCCCTAGCGGTCTGATTATGTCCATATTTCTGTGCTCAAAGCGGTACATTTTTTTTGCATGGAAATACGTATTTTTTTTTAATTGTAGGCCTGTAATTTTTAGGAATAACTCACTGAAATCTGTCCGAACAAGAGTCTAGTAAACATCCCGGGTATGAAAAAATTTGAAACCCGAAATCATAAAATTATAATGTAATAATCATAAAAAATAATAATATAATAATAATACATTTAATTCAGTAATATAATCAAACCAAAAACACTGAAATCTGAAATAGAGCGCCAAGTTCGCACATCACTGAGCAAAGTCGCAAAATCGTTTTCAGTGTCTGATGACGAATTTCCCCACGAATCATTATCACTCAATTCTGCAAGTAGTTGTAATTTACTATCGCTGTTCTCTAGCTGGTCTAAAACCGCTTTTGACCTAAAAGGGACGCTTTTTGGACACCATGGACATTTCTCAGTTTCCAGGCAGAAAGAACAGTAAAAATGCAGGCAGGGCGCAGGACAAAGCACTAGGGACAAAATGTATGTGAAATGGTTTAATATAGTAATGTTTTACTATGTGATTTTAGTGAATGTCACTTTTTGTCATTTTCAAATTTCCCGCCGTTCCGTCCCCGTACGTTCCGACGTCGCAGGGGACGGAACCCAGAAGACAGATGCCGGCATCCGCCGGAGGACATTACAGAGGACACTGCAGGACATCGTGGGAGCGCAGGACAAGGTAAGAGAAGAACAGATCCCGGAGCAGCGCCGCATGGTAAGTCCGAGTGTAGCTCGGGGTTACCGCCTGTGGTACTGAAACTTTACCCCGAGCTACATTTGGGAATACCGCCAGGGAGGCTACGAAAACTTTAAACCACACTGTTTGGTGCCAAACTGTTTTGGCCATACTTCTCTTGTGGGTCACAGGAGCACAATTACTTTTGTCCTCCTGTGACCATGAGTCTGCTTCTAATGAGCTATTGCCCACTATCAGTGGATGAAGAACAGCTGCTACCAGGTCAGGAAGCATCCTGACAATATTGCTGGGATTCATCCCACTGCCTGGTGACAGCTGGCTCTGCCTCTCAGCGTGCAGTGTCACGGAGAGACGCTTACGCCTCCTAAGTCTTGCACTCCAGTGAATGCTGTAGAAGCAGAGTGGAGAGCAGTGACTGACAGTCCCGGATCTTTGCTCTGAGCAGACAGAAAACTGAGCGATCAGCGGCCTTGTGAGCACTCTGCTCTCAGGGTGAGAGCTGACGTGGGACAGCTGCAGCATCTCACAAATACTACAGCATGGAGCCGAGTGTGTGTATGTATGTATGTATGTATGTATGTATGTATGTATGTATGTATGTATGTGTATATATATATATATATATATATATATATATATATATATATATTTTATTTTTTATTTTCCCCCCCCCCCCCCCCTCCTTATCCCATACTTCTTTGTTTTCATATACATTCTTAAAATACATTACAACTTACTCAATAGAAAAATCATATACAGCATCTACCTTCCCTTTCCGATCATTTGTTTGCTACAATTACAGGTGTACTTTAATAATACACCATGCCACATACTAAAAAGGAAAGTACTTACTAATATATTACAAAGGATTGCACTGTTCTTCCAACAATCCTGGCTTTGTAAGTCTAACACTCAGCAAGACAGGAACATGGACTTAAAAAATTGATAAGGATGCTCGCAGCGCTTTTCTAATAAACTCTGCCAAGTGGAAAGGAAAAAGCAGAATGTGTACCTGATGTCTAGTTTATGTTATTAGATCCTGCCGTCTTACTTAGAAGCCTGAACATATTTAGCCCATACAGCTCTGAAATCAAGACTGATGCATTTGTCTGGCTTAAAGAAAACTTGTTTTTATTTTCTGTTAATACAGGTCTACAATATGTAACATTATCTGAATGGGAAAGCCGGTGAAAGGAATTTGTTTACTTTCTGGGGGAGAATGCGGGCCCTCCTGGGGCTGGCAGGCTATGTGATTAAGCAAGTGATGTAAATTAAATGCAAGCGTTTGTTTGGCGATAGTAAATGCAATAAATGTGCACACATTAGCCTGCAGACAAGACCCGGAGACTGTGGCTTCTTGTGCTAAGCAGATAAACCATGAACTCAATAGGCTTTTTCTAGTAGGGATTGGGGACCGGTGTCAGATCATATGAAAAAAGGTTTCCTAAACAACCTGGGAGACCTGAACACAGTGTGACCTTACGCAGGGCAAACTCAAATCCTCTAGTCTCCTGCTGGAATTCAAAGAGGCCACTTAATAATGGTACTACACATACAGAAAAGTCTACGGCAGACTGTGTATTAAAAGGAGGTCTCCAATCTGCACTAATAGTATCTACAGCCCTGGCCAAAGGTTTCGAGAATTACGCAAATATTAATTTACCTGCAAGGAAACAATGGCAGTCATTGCTTTGCACAAAAAGGGATTCACAGGCAAGGATATTGCTGCTAAGATAGCACCTAAATTAACCATTTATCAGATCATCAAGAACTTCAAGGAGAGAGGTTCAACTGTTATGAAGAAGGCTTCAGGGCGCCCAAGAAAGTCCAGCAATTGCCAGGACTGTCTCCTAAAGTTGATTCAGCTGTGGGATCGGGGCACCACCAGTGCAAAGCTTACTCAGGAATGGCAGCAGGCAGCATAGTGAGGCAAAGACCTTTGGAGGATGGCCTGGTGTCAGGAAGGCCAGCAAAGAAGCCAGGGACAGACTGATATTCTACAGGGATTTGACTGCTGAGGATTGAGGTAAAGTCATTTTCTCTGATGAATCTCTTTTCTGATTGATTGGGGCATCCGGAAAAAAAAAACCTTTTCTGGACAAGAAAAGGTTAGTGCTACCATTAGTCCTGTGTCATGCCAACAGTAAAGCATCCTGAGACCATTCATGTCTGGGGTTGCTTCTCAGCCAAGGGAGTGGGCTCAGTCATAATTTTGTCTAAGAACACAGCCATGAAATAAAAAAAAAAAAAATGGTACAAAAACTTCCTGCGAGAGCAACGTCTCCCAACGATCCAAGAACAGTTTGGTGATGAACAATGCCTTTTCCAGCATGATGGAGCATCTTGCCATAAGGCAAAAGTGATAACTAAGTGGCTTGGGGAATAAAACATCGAAATTTTGAGTCCATGGCCAGGAAACTCCCCAGACCTTAATTCCATTGAGAACTTGTGGTCAATATCCTTAAGAGGCGGGTGAACAAACCACCCCCCACAAATTCTGACAACTCCATGCAAGAATGGGCTGCCATCAGTCAGGATGTGGCCCAGACGTTGAGTGACAGCATGCCAGGGCGAATTGCAGAGGTCTTGAAAAAGAAGGGTCAACACTACAAATATTGACTCTTTGCATAAACTTCATGCACTGGTCAATAAAAGCTTTGGACACTTATGAAATGCTTGTAATTACACTTTCATTATACCATAGTAACATCTGACAAAAAGATCTAAAAACACTGAAGCAGCAGACTTTGTTAAATTTATTATTTGTCACTCAAAAAACTTTTGATTTGGGGCCTGCATCAATGGGCAAATGCAGTGTTCTTTAACCACCCCTCTGCCGCCCTATGGTAGAACTACTACTACAAAGCCCAAGGGCTGCGCAAAATCATATATATATACACACACACACATATATACATATATCTCTGGGTAGGGGGGTGCACGCACGCGCCGCCCTACCTGCGCCGCCATTGGTGGCTAAGCATGTCAATCACCGGGTCCCGGCCAGAGATTTCCCACCAGCACCTGGCAATCACTGAGTAAATCTGACAGGAGAAAGACCTGTGTGTAAACAAAGCACAGGTCTCTCTCCTGCCAGCAAGTACATGCTGCTGTGTATTTCTCTGCACAGCAGAGAAATACACAGCAGCATGTTTCCCTAGTAAAAACACACACAGCACATGATATAAAAACACAACAGCACACAGTTAACCCTTTGATTTCCCCAGATGTTAACCCCTTCCCGCCCAGTGTTGGTGCTTTTAATTAGCACTGATCACTGTATTAGAGTCATTGGGATGTCAGTGGCAGTTAGTCAGTCCCCCTCCAGTGTCAGAATGCCCGCCGCAGTCCCGCTATAAGTCGCTGATCGCCGCCAATACTAGTATATAAAAAAAATTAAAATAGAATTCCAGTATACCACCATTTGTAGACGCTATAACGTTCACATAAACCAATTAATTCACCTGTATTGGGATTCTGTTTTAGCAAAGATATGTAGGCAGAATACATTTTGGCCTAAATTTATGAAGACATTTGATTTTTCTAATTTTTTTACTGGATATGTTTTATAGCAAAAAGTAAAAAATACTTTTTTTTTTCAAAATTGTCGGTCTTTGTTTATAGTGCAAAAAATAAAAACCGCACAGGTGATCAAATACCACCAAAAAAAAGCTCTATTTGTAGGGAAAAAGGACATAAATTATATTTATTTACAGCACTACATGACTACGCAATTGTCAGTTAAAGTAATGCTGCGCCACATTGCAAAAAATGGACTGGTCAGGAAGGGGGGGGGGTGAAATCCTCTGGAAGGCAAGTGGTTAAAGCAGAACATCACTGCATCTGAACACCAAAAAGAAAACAAAAAAAAAAAAAAAAAAAAAAAGCTGTTTAGTTAATTTTTGATTTTTAAAAAAATCAAACTCCCCCATTCATGTCTCCATGCTTTATTTTGCTAGGAAATCACTTTGAAAAACTACCCCCTAGCATTTCTGGATTTGGCCATCTTGAGTAAGGGCAAATGATTTATGTAGCATTTACTTCCTGGAATCCATCTGTCCTTAGCTCAGGCATGCAGACAGGAGGGTGTGCTTAACTGAGAAAATCCCTGCTCCTCTCCTGGCTCCTCCTGGGATGTATGACATCTTTTATCTAGGCCAGAAACCAAGAAGTAACTGAAGGAATGTGAAAACTGCTAGCCGCATAAGGACTAAAAATAGTCAATGTTGATTGAGAGAGTGAAGTTGTGCTTTAAGATGCTTCTCAGATTATTCTGTTTCAATGCAGGTGTAGTTTACCGGCTTCTTATCTGCATTTGACTTGCTTCAGCTACATAGACTTGTATAGGGAGAGAATCAGTCCCGGAGCCAACAAAAGCCTAACAATGGCCCATACTGTCATCCAGGCACATGCACACAGAATTTAAAGCCCAACCTTCAGTTGAAATCAGCTAAATACATTCCAGGACCATCAAAATAAAAACTGTCCAAAATCTAAGGCTACAATCATGCATGAGCATCATGTTTTGTATTTTTTGTCATGACAGCCCACTGACTTGACATGCCTGTTGCATGACAAATGCAGCAAAGAGCCTCAAATACTAATTTTGGGACGTGAGCCAAGCACGTTTGGAGACATGACAAATCACACAACTGATACCGGTGTTTAAGGTGCCATTAAGAAATAATGGCCGCTCAGATGTGAACAAAACCTTAAAATGGTTGTAAACTCTTACATATACCCAGTGTAGTGATTGACCTCAGGTGATGCACAGAGATTAAAATCCTTCTACACAAGTTGCACCTGTTTATCTGCAGCAGGTCCCTCCCTTGGCACCATGTTTTTCTTGTTCTCAAGAAAACTTGTCAGACGTGATTCATTCAGATAGCAGGAATGAAGCAGCAGACAGAAATAACACTTAGTGCTCCCACTTGAGACAAGTACACACTATAGAGGGATATGCTTTGTTCATATTTCATAGCTGAGGTTTACAACCACTTGAAGATTTTTTTTTTTTTAATGAAAGCAGTCATAGCCTGAGATGAAAGGGGCGTCACCAACCAGCATGCTGTAGCCCCCTCCACTCTGTGTGGAAACCGCAGCCTCTG